GCAAAATGAAGCACACGTTGATGTGCGTGCAACTCTCTTTGCACGCGTCGGTTGCCGCCGCGAATGGGAGGCAGCAATGGAGGCTGCCTGCGGCTCCGGTGGTGTAGCCGAGCACGTCAGACGGGCATGAAGAAGGCAAAGAGTCTACTCTTTTTGTACAAAGATTTTTCCGTAGATGAATGCATTTTATCGGACCTGTCCGATGAAGGCAAAGGTGACTTGAGCCATGGCTTTTTCCTTCTTTTTGTACAGAGATTGTCTCCACTGTCTGCCAACTTTCCTTGCATTAGAAGAAAAGGGTGAGAATTTTCTTTCTTTTAGTTTTCCTATTTTGTGAGTTTGGCTTGATAGTTTTTATAGGAAAGTTGTACGTGTGTATATGTGTTTTCAAGTGTTGTGGACAATAGCCAATTGTTTTCATGATGGAGTTATGCGTTTGTACTCTTTGCACTCTTCGAATTAAATGTTAGGCACTACTATTTTGTGAGTATTTGGTACGAGGGTTTAATGAGATGGTCCAATTTTGGCATCTGTAAATTTGTTTGCAACTAAGGGCTCTGCTGCCAACAATTTGGTTTAAGTTGTTTTGCTATTATTGGAGTGTTCACTTTGGACAATTTTTTAACAACAACAACTAATTTTTTAGCAGTATGTGTCAGATGGCCGCACTACGACCGCGACTCTCTCTGTCGGTGGTCTATTGCGGTGGGGCGAGCGGCAGCTACACCTGGAGAGTCAAGTCCTCGACTTATCCGTTACCAGACCATTTTCCAATTGCACACGGAGAAGGAAGGGCCACGACACCCTGAATGATGGTGTCACCTCTGGAAAGGTATATCCCTCATTCTCTCTCCTGTACACTCCCTTCATTTTTATATTTTTATTACTTTTTTAAAAAATAATACGAAATTTCTAAAATGCCATCGAAAATCAGCTTTTTTTAGTCAAAAAACAACTTTACATCCGGTTTAGGGGGTAAGATGAGAAAAACGTGGATTTCATATGGCTGTTTGTCAAAAAAATTAGTTGATAGGGTAAACCGCAAAAATCGCGATAGTTTGGATAGGAAAAAGTAATTTACCCTTAACTTTATAATAGGTGGAGAATGGAATTGTGTAGTAGATTACATTGTAGATTGTGTTGTAGTAGTGTGATACATATATTAATGTGGTAGGTGACAAGTGTGTAGTGAGTAATAAATTAAATATGACAATGAACCACACTGAGAAGAAATGAGAACAAAGAATCAACAATAAATCAAAAGAGTTTTCTATTTTTATTTTTATTTTTTTATGTGGTTGCATAATTAATGATATTATACTATTCATACTGAGATAGTGATGTTAGTTTACTAACATTGTAGTCGGTGGAGTATGGAATTGTGTAGTAGGTTATATTGTAGATTGTGCTGTAGTGGTATGGTAGGTGGCAAGTGTGTAGTAGGTAATAAAATAATTGTGGAAATAGTGAATCAATAATTTAAACAAGTACTCGATTATGTAAACATGTACATGTGCTAATAAAATTTTATAATTCTTTTTTGTGTGTATATAATATTTAAAATCATAAGTTAGATAATGAATATATCACATTTTATAATTTATATTAATAAAAATAAATAATATAAATATAAATTATTTAATTTATATATAAAATTTATTATACTCTTTATAGTGTTAATGTGTTGGATGACAATTGTGTAGTGAAAAATAAATCTAGTTAGCAAACCAATAATTTAAGTTAGCAATGGATTATGTGTGCATATGTAACATTTAAAACTATAAGTCGGACCAATTCAGTTTGGCTAATAAAGTGAAAAGTCAACTAAAAGTCTTCTTCAAACACAAATCGACTATGTTATTTTGAATAAAGTTGATTGAATTAAAATTTTAAATTTATAGTTAAATAAAAATATAATAACTAAAGTTAATGTAATATCAAGAAATGTTTTTGAAAATGATAGGTTTAAAAAATATGTGGGTAGATGAAAAATGATTAAAATTTATGTGACGCGTGAAGAAAATTAATTAATACTATTTAATTATTAATAACACTGAGAGTTGGGAAGGATTATAATGAGTTGGATCAGTCACAACCAATTATAATATGTAGCCAAATAGTCTCCTAAACCTCCTAAAACCATCCTCACACAACTATTAACTAGTAAATAGTTTACGGAACGGCTATAAAATCGATAGGAACTAATGTAAATGCATTACAACGAGATGAAACCATCGCAAGGTCCTCTTTTCAATGTCGCCGCATAATCACAAAATGAACGTCTCATAGTTCTCATAGTTCCCAGCTCTGCATAAAAAGAAGAATCAGCATCCCAGAAAACCAGAGATCAAGGAATATAATTAAAAGAAAAAAAAGAAAATTTAGATCTCAACTTCAAGTATTTGTCCAGTATTGAAGCTGTCATTGTCTCACATTCAGTTAATCAGAAACTGAGGAGAGAACTCGTGAACCCAAAAAAAAAAAAAAACCAAACAAACCAAATGGACAAAAAGAACGAGATTATGAAAAACACTAAACCAGCAGAAAAGCAAGCTTTACACAAACATAAGGTCATGGTAGATGAAGATGAAGATAAGAGTGGTTGAAAAACGAATATGGAACTTTTGGTCTTTCGATGATTGCCTAATAATCGTGACACAAAACATGTGTTGCATCTACATGCCTCAGAGTGAACAGTATAGCTCGGGAAAAAAATGGTAACTCAAACCTGATGTCACTTTGGATTACGAAGGACAATGATCACAGAATCTCCACGGAGAAACATCTTACTAATAAAACGGTCTTTATTAACTGGAAGAGCTTTCTTTTTCCCTTTACCAGTCTTGGGCACCTGCAACAATACTTAATTTAGGAATTGACTATTGGGCCAAAGCTATAAACATATGTATGTTAATCAGTATGATATTTCTGCATATAATATAAATAAACAATACTCCACAGAATATACCAACCTCAGTCCACATTTCACGCACATTCTCGAGCACCATGTTGCAGTGGCGGTCAAAAGCTCTCACGTGGCCCAGAAGCTTCTTGTTATTCCGGCAATTGATAAGCACCTAACAATAAGACCAGGTAATATAACACCAAATAAAAATTAGAGATAAGGCAACAGAATGACTACCTTAGAAAGGTAAAAAAAAAAAAAAGAGTAACAATGCCAACAGGAAAATGATTGGGACCTTCCTGCATAGAAAAGAGCGGGTACCTGTGTGTTATTCCTAACACTCATCATCAAGACAGAAAGCGGACCAGTGTTGAATTCCTCTTCCTCATTCATTCCCTGTAGAAACAGGGCTCCAGTTAAATAATACAATTTTGTACTTAAACTACAAGGACATTAACTTGAGAATAAGAGAAAACTGAAGTTGAGAAAAACTTATTTAGCTTCCACATATGTTCATACAGCCCTAACTTGGGAAACAAAACCATATGGTAAGAAAATATAAATGACACAAAATCAGGTCTCGTGAGAAAGATATAGATATGAAAACAAATTCAACCCAATAATTTCTTAAAAACAAGGAAGATGAACAAAACTCCATATAACGTGTGGTCGTCAATGTAAACATCTCCATTTACCCTTTACTTGTGCAAAACCTTTACCATTCCTTAAGCTCAATTTACAAATTCCAGCGACCCAACACTTGCATATCATACACCCGAGTTACCCAGCCTCCCACAACTATTTAAAGCAGAGACTACCAAGTGACAACGGCTAACCGAACATGATTAACAGGCATATAACAAAAAAACTAGAAACTTGAGACGAGTATAGCCAAAATTCACCTAACTATGGGTAGAAACAAAGAACAACTACACCAACACTTGTAATCACAAAGGCAACGAATACAAACTTGATAAATTGCAAAACCAAAATAAAGAACAGTGAAAATAGGCAGACTACTTACAGGGACATCCTCTTCCATTGGCCGGCTGCAAACAACAGATGAACACCACAAAAATCAGTAAAAAAATCAAAAATTTCGAAATCCCGAAATTAATTGACAACTTGCGAACTCCAATTTCAAATAACAACGCAAAAAAAAAAAAAAAAAAAAAAAAAAAAAAAAAACTATAGCCATCATAATGTTGAGTATTCTATCGGCTCACCTTATCTTCGCGCGATCCACAAAAAGGTGCAAACTGCAATAGAAGAACCTGAAAAGACAATTGGGTATTTTGAATAAACTAAAAATGAGATCGAAAATCTGTGTAGGGTTTAGGGTTTTGCAGAACAACAAAAGAGTTCTATCGCTTTTGACGAATCCCGTAATTATCCCATTCTTTTAATACTGTGCTGCGGATATATATAGTAGGATGTTGTGTGAGGAGGCCAGAATCCATAATTGGATTTTATGGGCCATTCGACCAATCACATAATCCTTAAACTTTTCAGGCCCAATTATTATATATGGCGGCCCATATATCTCATTTGTCAAACTATAGGAGGGATTTATAAGAAAGTTATAGGTCAAGTTGGGGTTGGGGAAAGGTGATTAGTTTCAGCTAATGGTAACAAAAACCTAAGGCCAGGGTACACAATCAGAACCAAATAAATAATTATTAAGGGAGTTTAATTGTAATTTTAGCCATGTATGTTTCATTACCTTAATTTTTTCGTCTTCTTCAAATTGTGTTTTTTTTTTTTATTTTCGTCACGTATGTATGCAAAAATGTTACAAAAGGTCATTTTCATACATACAAGACGAAATTGGAAGGTTTTTTTTTTTTTTTTTTTTTTTTTTTTTTGCAGACCTTTTTTGTTGCGAAAAGGACCTTTTTGTAACCTTTTTGCAAATACACGGGACGAAATAAAAAATGTAATGCGAAAAAAGACGGAAAAGTTAAGGTAATGAAACATCATGACTAAAATTACAATTTACTCTTATTAGGGGGCGACTGGATATCAATAAAACCAATTTTGAGTTGATTTAATTCGCTAAAGCGAGCTATTTTAAATAAAGTTGATTTAGCGAGAAATTGATTGATATTTTAAATTTGTGGTTAAATAATATTTAAAATGTAATGATTAAATTTGATGTAATGTAGGAGTATGATAAATATTTTTAAAAAATTATAGGTAGTTAAAAATATGTGAGTAAATAAATACTAATTAAAGTTAATATTATGTGTGAGAAGTATTGATTGATATTATTTAATTATGTTATTAATATTAAGGAGAGTTGAGTAGGATTAAAATTGAGTTTTGATTTTGAATTAAAAAATGTAAAACAAACTACTCGATCAGTCAAAATCAATTATAATATGTAGCCAATTGCCTCCTAAACCTCTTAAAACTATCCTCACACAACTATTAACTCATAAATCGTTTACAATATGAACGTCTCATAGTTCCCAGCTCTGCATAAAAAGAATAGTGAATTGATAGCGATTTAGAAATGCAATAGTTGGTTTGTAGACATGTTTTGTGAAGTGCTAATTTTTAGCCATCTTCCCACTTAAAAAAGACAAAATTTATATGGTTCAAAATTTATTAATTTTAATATATAAAACATATTACCTAAAAGAGTTTTATCAATTTTTTTTACATTGTTTTGTAACTAAATTATTATTATAATTTTTTTTTCAGTGTGAAAAAGCCCAATTTGTGAATAACAATTTTTGGGATGTAAATGTTTATAAAAATGAACAGAGACATAGATGAACTTTATGCGTTTGAAAATTTTGTCGTATGAAGACTTTTTTAACTGAGTTCTGTTGTCAAGCGAAAATTAACAACTTTATAATCGATAAGGATTTGGAGTGAACTCAATATAAACCAATAGAAGCTTATATGTTCAATAAAAGGAGATGGAATTTTTCTGAATATCATTATTGTATATGTATCTCTCCCCTTTTTCTCTGGAGAACTGTTTTCTCCTTTTATATTTATGTACAACATTTATCTGTAAAGTAATCATTACATTTGAAAGGTCAAAGGCGGCTTCTTGCGATTTCTCAAGGTCAAAGGCGGCTTCTTGCTACTTCTCTTGATAGCACGCCACTTGGACAAACGTAATGATGATTTGTGCTGTGTTGTCGCCGCCTTTCAGTGTTGACGTGGCACATCATAGATATCGGTTCGTCCAGTTATAACCGATATGTTGTATCCGACATGTAGTGACCGACATGTGATAACCGACATGAGATATCGGTCAAGTAACGGAGATGTCGGTTCTTGTTGAATCTCTCGTTATGCAATCGTCTTGAAGTCCGTGGAGACATCATGTACTTGTACGAATTTTAATTATCCTCACACTGACCATAATCGTCTAATCAACGTTGCTTAACTCGGTTCATTGAAAATGATATCAACAAGGTGGCCCCCAGCATTAATGGTCGTCTGGACGGAAGACGGGCAGTGATGCTGAAGCTTTATCAGGAAGCAACTAAGTTCTTGGATTAACATGACATGTCGGTTTCATCATTATTCCTCCGATGTCTCTACACTTGGTGGAAATAACACTTAAGAGTTGAAGCGGTGCACTTCATTGAGATTAATTGCACCGTTTACTCATAGGGGTAACGGTCACTTATAATAGGCCACGTAGCTGCTATTAAGAGGCACGATTTTTAAGAGTCGCGTCGACACGCAAATCCAGAACGTGTAATCCACGCGCCCCTATTTCTGCCGGTTTCCAACGGTCGCTAGTAATTTTAGGGTTTGGTATAAATAGGAATTCTTCTTTTGAGATCTACTTTACTTTCATCTTCGTCTTGCAATTGTCTTTCTTGTTTTCCTTGCGAATTTATCGCCTCTCAACTGTACTCAAAGCATCTCAGATCTACGAACTACTTCCTGTGGTAAGAACCCCTTTTCTTTGTATTTTGTTTATTTACTCCGATTTTCCTTTATTTTTCTCGACATCATGAGCGCATCATGGGCGTCTTCTGGTGACGACGAATTGGACGTGATGATGATTAACATGGTTCACTCCGGGGAGTTGGAATTGTTGTCTGAGTATAACCGGTGGGACCCGGTATTTGTCGAACGGTTGAAAATTCGACTAAACGATAGCGAGGGGGACAAAGTCGTAGAGAAAAACGCCATTGATGACCCAAGATTTTGGAGGCGACCTATTAGGAGATGGCCAGATCCTGGACTTACATCCCATGATGAACCAAGTATCCTTACTGATGCCGACATCGTCATGTTGCAAAGTGAAATTCGAGTCCCTACATCGGTACATTTGTTTGCTCCATACCCAGGTGAAAGGATCACATGTCCTCCGCCCAACTGCGTCGGTGTGTTCGCCGAGAGTCTGAGATCAGGCTTGCGATTTCCTTTGCCGCGCATAATCGCTGAATATTTACGGGACTGGGAGTTCCCGATATGCCAAATCGCTCCAAATTCATGGAAGCGAATTATTGGACTGCTGGTGCTCTTCGCCGAAAAGAAGTGGGATCTACCGTCGGCGAAGGACATGAGAAGCATGTTCACATTTCGAAAGAGTCCAGATAGACAAGTGTCGGACCCACTTCTTACTTTTTCCATTGTCGGTAAACCCCAACCAAGGGTCAAGGTTGGCGAGTTAATAATGGAGGTCCCCGACGCATTACATGGCTTCCAAGAGGAGTGGCTGTGGGTCGGTGGAGATTGGCAGTGCCCCGACTTCGCTAATGATCTTCTTGTCGACGGGACAAGCATCCCAATGGCTATTAAATCTGGTTACTGTAAGTTGTTCACCGTTTTCTTCATTTCGGTTATTAATATCTTGTTTTTTGTTGTCGCTAACAGGTGGACTTTTGTGACCTTGTAGCAAAACCAACCGGGAAGAGAGAGCCCAAGTTCGAAGGTCTACTGTACGATCGAGTGGACAAGTTGTTTGAAGTGTCTCATAACAAACAACGATATCATCGTCTTGTAAAGGATTCCCATTTAGAGTTGGCTGGTTTATCTCCCGGGATACTTGATTCTTCATTTCTACCAGGTAATTTTCTTCGCTTATCTCGTAGCATTGTTCGTGTTAACGAAATCGGTCTAACCTTGAATTTGCTGTAACAGTATATTATCCATTGCTGGGATATTTTGGTTTCGGAGATCACGCAGAAGCAGAAGAACATCGGAGACGTAATCCAAATCTCGGCTTAAAGAACAAAGTTTGGAAAAACAAAAATCTTCGATCGACAGAGATGGTCGGGCGTATGAACCTTCTGAAGTCATGGAAGAAGAACCCGAACCGTTCCCAAAGCGTTGTCGGTGAACCATCATCCACAAGAGTGGAACCGACACCGGCGGTCGTCAGTGAGGCGTTGGTTACCGAGGTCCCACCACTTGAAGTTGCTCCAATCCAACAAGTGATGACGTCGGTAGAGGAGCCCAGCGTGGAGACCGACATCACGCGAGAGGCGTCGGAAGAGCCGCTTCTTAACGTGGTGCAGCGGCGTAAGAGGTCTAGCGTATCTTACGTGGCTGAAAGGATGAAGAAGAAGCCGAACACAGGCGCCGGCAAAGACAAGGAGGAGGAAGAACTGGAGATTATCTTAAGAGAATCCTTCCTTAAAGTTAACAAGAAGAAGGCGGCAGAACTGACGTTGCCGGAAGGGGTGTTTGACCCTTGGTTTTCGATGTTCCAAACAGTCGTCGAACCCAAAGTTACGATTAACCACCGGGTCCCTACCGAAGCGGTGAAGGCGGCGAAGGTTCCCTTAATGTCGTGGGACCCGAAAACTCACGCCGGGATCGCGTCTCTGCCCGACGACCAGAAGTTCAGCTATGCCCGAGACTGCTTGGGACGAGCACTTGTCAGTTTCATAGCGGCCGAAGAGAGTTATCGGGGCAGAGCGCAGGAACTTGACGAGAAACAGCATGAACTGAGCTTGAAACAAGGCGCCATAGCATCTCTGGAAGACGAAAAATCTCGCTATGAGGCAGTCTTGTCGAAGAAAGATGCTCAGTTGCAGGCGGCACAGACCGAGGTGAGCGCTCTTAAAACCGAGAAGGAAAATTTATTGTTAGCCCATGATCTCACATCGGTCCAGCTGGCTAAAGTTGTCGAGGTAGCCAAGGAGAAAGATGAGCAGCTCATGAAATTGAAGGCTGAACTCCAGGCAGTTCGCAAGGACCGGTCTGTAAAGGACGCTGAACTGATACGATGTCGGGAGGCTCATGAGACTGCTATGAGCAAACTCCGTCAAGAAATGGCAGCCACCGCCGAGCTCAAATTCCAAGAGGGTATCGAAGTCGGCAAGAAGTCGGTGGGCGAATCCGACAACGCATTAAATGCTGACGCAGTAACGGAATGGGAGTTGGAATTGAACGCCGCCTTGACCTTGCGCTGGGTGATCGATAGAGTGGAAAGTGGCGTATACACCATAGATGAGCTGCGTATCTTCCTCCTTCATAAGATGGAGAAGTATGGTT